TCCTGAATAAAACAGGCATGTATAGATTGCTGACAGTTTATACTTTGTTCTGTATTTGGTCACCAATCATTTTACTTCACTTCTTTTTTAATTTACATTTTACTACAAGTTTTGATTGTCCATGTTAACATCAAGAAGTTAAATCTGAAAGCTGAACCACTCAAATCAAGAATTTACATTAAAAGAATTTTCAGTAACCCAGAAAGTTAAAGCAGTTAATAAGAATCAAACTGGAAGTTTAAAATGGATTATTCTAAAGGTGTTCCTAAAAGTAATAGTTGTTTATAAGGCAGACCAAATCTATATGCATTCTTATGAGAGAAAATAGCATTTAGCATAAATAGAATGGGTCTTTGTAAATATACAGGCTGCTAATTACAAAAGATTAGATCATCTAAGATTTTTATGAGAATCAATCTAGATGCAGATTATATCTGCTTCAGATCTTATCATTGATCAGTTCTGCAGTAAAGCAAATAAATTATTATAACTTAGTATTTTGAATTGTGTTTAACCAACAACTATGGTGTATTATATCAATGGTGTATCAATCAATATCTCACTCAGAGTAAAGATACACCCTACAACAGAATACCACAAGCACTTCTGTAGAAAGTTTATAAACTTATACAAATATACAATACTAATTTTATTTGTTCACCTTTTAAAATTACTGAAATTTTCTTCATTTTTTTACACATGTGTTATCTTTCCCTTGCCTTATCTTTAAGAAAAATATTATATAATCTGTTCTTTATTTTACTATAACTAACTTTGACAGATACTAGATGGACTGACTCAGAGCTGAGGGAAATGATACATGATAACTGTTGTAATCTAGAAAAGGTTACTGAATGAGGAGTAACCAAAACGGAGGTTGAAAATGAAATGGTAATCTTTATAACATCAACAAAATACAATACTCACCAGCGGTGTGAAGTAGGTTAACCACTGCTAATGGTGGGCTACTTAGCATATTACCCCCACTTACAATAGTGTCCAATGTATTTATGAGGATTGGGACATACCCATTAGTGTTCCTAGGTAGCGTATATAACAATAAGTATCAGTTATAATAGCAAATATCGTATTACTAGAAAGAATCTTGAACACTGATTGAGATGACATGAACCCATCACTTACATCTAAAGTAGGCTTATTATCCTCCTCAGCTTGCTTCTTTTCCTGCCTATCTTTGCTTAGCTATGCTGTATTTGTTTGTTAACAGTGAATATTGTGTTTACACCCAATTAAGGCATTGTGCTAACAGCATGAAGACAAGATAAACATAGCTGTTCCCTGGAGGAGCATTAGAATGGAGATCATGAGGACTTTAGATCAAACTCAAACTGATAATCCCAAAGTACTTTACAACTGATCACCAAAGTTAAGCAACAGCATGAGAAAATATTTATTGTCTCCCTAAACACCTCACATACCTCAGTATATGGATCTGTGTAATAAATACTAAACACTTCAAATATATTGGGGTATTGATCACTTAGAATATGAGAGATGAAATTGAATATAGAATGGGCTGCACTTAGTTTTGCCTAACACTTCAAATTACTACAAAACCAAAGCATTAACCTAAGAACACAAGTCATGTTCTTAAAAAGCCTTTTCAGATTGACTGTCATATGAATGTCATACCTTGCAGCAAATTGTCCAGGAATATTTAAATTGTCACATGGAAATTGTTCTGACAAACTCTCTTTATGGCACTACACTCTGAATTTAATGAGCAGTACTAGATTGGTAACAAAATCTCATTATTGTACAGTCAAAATGGCTAAATGTAACCATAAGTTCTATGCTAACAGTTTGTTCTAGAGCACTTCTTGCTTGTGGCTTCATGCTTTCAGGTCAAGTTTGATCTTCAAAAATTCAAATGCAATGTCAGTTGTTATCTTCTGTTTTCTTAATTCCTGTTCTTTATTATTTTCTCTCCTTATTAATGTTTTTTTTTATAGTCTTTCACACTCAGTATCACCCTGCATCTTAGTGGCATAAAAAATTGCAAAAAGTGCTTGGGAATACAGAATATTCGTATAATTTCTACATAATTTATGTCCAGAAAAGAAAAATTATAAGAACACCAGAAAAATTAAATCAAAACTTAACTGCAGTACCTTGTCAGTTAAATTTAATGAAACTTGTGCATGTATATATATATATATATATATATATATATATATATATATATATATATGAATTGATGTGAATTTGTAACCATGGGTTTCATGTTATTTGTGATCATCAGACAAACTGATTAATTTTTAAATTTTGGATATAAGCAGTTTGTCTGACAATCCCAAATACCGTGATACCCAGAGTCACAAACTCACATCAATCCAACTAAATATGTTAGCTCTATCACTGATATTGAGCACTTTCCAATAAGTGCTGCGCATATATAATATATAAATTATATAAAGAATTGCATACATACATATATATATATATATATATATATATATATATTTATATTTATATACAAACACATTTTTATATATATATATATATATATATATATATATACACACACATACATACTCTGGTTATTCTTTATGTATCCTTCTTTTATCTAGTAAACAGCCTTCTTCAATGTTACTGTGGAACTCTCTTGGGTATTATTTTTATTCAATTTAATTGTCTAATCATGCCAGCACAGTTATGTTAAATTATGGTAAATAAATAACATTTGAGATCAGAGTCATGTCTCTTTTCCTCTGAAAAATTATTTCTCTGAAACTAAATTTGACCGATGTGTCTATGCAGCCATTATGAATTCAAACATGAAAATGGATTTCTACTTTCATTTTGCTTTATTTTGATAAAAAGGAAAAGAAAAATAACTATAAAGAGAAGGAAAAAGAATCACAACTATATGAATATATTTATTGATCTGACATAAGCTTTGTCTTATAATTTGATGTACCAATCATAGTTAAATGGCATAGAAAATTGAATGAAAAATCTCAGTTTGATCTTATCTATTGCAATCATATCTTTTTAAATCTATCTATCTATCTATCTCAAATTCAATCTCAAAAATCTCTATTTTAACTTTTATATCTCTATCCATATTTCTCAATCTAGTTTTAATATCTATCAATCAATCTATCTTCTTTTTCTATCTATCTATCTAATCTCTATCTCAGCCTGTTCATCTATCTATCTATATCTAATCTGTTCAATCTGTTCTATCTATCTATCTCAGTCTGTTTATATCTATTTATCTGTCTTCATCTATCTATCTCAATGTGTTCATATTTCTCAATCTAGTCTATCTATATCTATCTATCTATCTATCTATCTCAATCTGTTCATATCTATCTCATCTCAGTCTGTTCATATCTATCTATCTATCAATCTGTTCATATCTATCTATCTATCTATCTATCTATCTATCTCAGTCTGTTCATCTATTTATCTGTCTATTCATATCTATCTCTATCTATCTCAATCTGTTCATATCTATCTATCTATCTATCTATCTATCTCTAAAATCTGTTCATATCTATCTAGCTAGCTAGCTCTCTGTTATTAAATGAGTAATTGTATCTAATAGTAAGTGTTATCTGTATGAAAGTATCTCAGTCTGTTTAGAATATCTTTGATTTATCTGTCTCATATCTTCTTTATCTATCTATCTATCTATCTATCTATCATCTATCTGTTATCTATCTCATATCTATCTATCTAATCTGTTCATACTATCTATTTAACTATTTATATTCATCTATCCATTTCTCAATCTAGTCTATTAATATCTATCAATAATCTATCTATCTATCTATCTATCTATCTAATCTGTTCTATCTATCTATCTCAATCTGTTCAATCTGTTCTATCTATCTATCTATCTATCTATCTATCTATCTATCTATCTCAGTCTGTTCATATCTATTTATCTGTTTATCTATCTGTCTATCTCAATCTGTTCATATTCATCTATCTATCTATCTATCTCAATCTGTTCATCTATCTATCTATCTATCTATCTATCTATCTATCTATCTATTTCTCTGTTCATATCTATTTATCTGTCTGTTCAATCATCTATCTATCTCAATCTGTTCATATCTATCTTTCTATCTATCTATCTATCTATCTCAATTTCTTCATATCTAGCTAAATCTGTTCATATCTATCTAGCTAGCTAGCTCTGTCTGTTATTAAATGTCTAATAGCGTAATTGTTATCTGTATGAAAAGTAGAAGCAGCAGGAGGATTTCAACTTCAGCCTAGTCTAGTGCATTCATTTCTCACAAATATCCTTGGAATCCATGTTTTCTTTTCAACCAGCTATGGTTCAAATAGTAGGGCAGACCTGTCTCTCTAGTATTTCACAACAACCAATCTAGAAGCAAAACCCTGAATTCAAAACCATAGAGAATGTAATAAGAAATCACTCCAATATCTTTCCCAATAAGTCACAGCAATTCATTGATAAGAAAGAAAAGGAATCTGTTGAGAGTCAGGATCATCTCAGTCTTGAAAGGACATGGAATTTAAAATTAATAATGATTACATTTTTGGCAGATATTTGTAAAGTTTGTTACATTTAACTAGGTTTTTAATCCAGCTCTTAAAAATGTGACATTACTTTCTGAACACTAAGGTTTTCTCTATGTTTTTTCTTTTTCTAACAAAGCAAGATCAGCAAATCTCTGCCTCGGCAGCCAATGCTTGTTTATCCATAAATCAAAGCATAGCGATAACATCCGCCTCCCTCATTCATTACAAATACCGTCATTTACCTGTCGTCTATGGAGCGTCCATAAAGTACCAGTAAACACTCACATGAGCTGCCTTTTCATTTAGGACAAGTGGCAAATTAGCATTATGGCACAGAGCTTAAGTGTTGTTACATTTTAAGAGTACCCAGGGGAGCTGGAAACAGGATAGGGAAGAGGGCAGAGAAAGGAAATGGACAGGGTAGATTGGGAAAAGAGGGAAAAAGGAGAAAATTAAGAGGAAAGAAATAAAGCATGTTAAAGGGAAATGGAAGAAAGAGATAAGGAATCAAGGGCAGATAGAAAAAAGGAAGAAGGTAATGAGTAAATTAAAGAAAAAATGTAGGCAATAAAAACTAAGGGAGTAAAACTGTAAAATTAGAGAGAATGTGTGAGAAAAAAATTTTAAAAAAATGATACAGAACAAAAGAGAAGAGTCAAAAGAGAGAAATAAAGGAAGAAGTTTTGGAGACAAGGAAAAAAAAGAAAGAAAGTAATGACTTAATGAGAGTGGAGAATTTAGGGAAAAGAAAGAAAAAAAAAACAAACAAAGCAGGGACAAGGAAGTGAGAAAAGCTGGTGAAAGTGAAGAGAGAAAAGGCAGAACCTGAAAGAGAGAATAAAGGAAGATGTACATAACATCAATAGAGTAAGAGATGGGAGAGGAAGCATGAAGGTGAAAAAGACTGAAAAGCTCAGAGAATTTGCCAAAGAATGATAGACTAAAAGTAAGAGAAAGGAAAACAAAAGAATAATGACATTAAACATGAGAGAAAAAGCATGGTCAACACCACTGCTCTGTAATCTGGCCAAGTGTGTCTTTCAATAGGGGGTTCCCTCATTCATCTTCCTAACTGGTCAATGAATTTCTTGACAGGGGCTCTCCACCCTTGCTACAGCAATGTCTCTATTGTTGGTCTTTGTCATGTCCTTCTCACCTTTCAGCCCAAAAGAGAAACAGTGTGCATTAGGTTAGGTAAAAGATCAGAGAACAAACTATGATTTCCACTGTATCTGCAGTTTACATGACAAAGTTATTGTTTCCTGATGCATTTCTACTTATAGACAAGCCAGCCATTTCATAAGCAGAGATTTTATCAAACAATCATGATTCCTGTCAATCAGGTTTGCTAGCTCATTTCACAATGGAGAAGCAGTTTGTGAAAGATAAAGCAAATTTGAAATCACTAGACTGGCGCCATTTTTTTTTTTTTTTCAGAGAAAGTATAACAAATTGCTATCTTTTATACTTTCAGCACCAAATGGTATTAATTAATGTTTTTGTGAAGATGTCAGAATTAAGCATTTACAGAAACTTAACAATTTGAGTAGTATAGGAGCAGATCAGTTCATCTATCATCCAGTTCACATACTTACCCAGTGTTTTAAACAGTAATAATGGCTTATCTCTTGTTTCCTGTTCTTTCTAAAGTCTACTTCAAATCTATACTTCTAAGATCTTTGCCTGAACTCTGAAATTTTATTTAATTTTTTTTAACCTCAATAGGAGTAGATTGTTTCACCTATCATCAGGTTCACATATCTCCCTGGTCTTTTGAACAAGAGGTTTATACTTTGTTTCCTGTTTAGGCTTGTATCTCAAAAGATTCATTAAAAAATGAGCATACTTGATGAAAAATGCCCCAAACTTAATAAAAACAAAGTTTTATCATAAAAATCTTTATGTTATGATTAAGAGGAAAGACCAAAGGATTTTTTTTTATTATTAAATTATACATTTTTATCCTTTTTAGAACCTTCTAAAATTGGTTTTCTTGCCTCAGTGGATGACTATAAATTAGTATTTGAAATTTGAGTGTCTTTTTGCGATGAAAAACACTTAAGATTGGAAATTCTTGCAAAAATAAGATAGTTGCTAGATTTTAATGAAATTTAAGGACTAACGAATAAAATTATTTTTGAAATATTTCTTTTTTAGAAAATCTTGGTAAAAATATATTTTTACATATTTCAAGAAATTCATTTTTGTAGTGCTTAATGCCTATATTAGTTATAAGAGCAAATCCTCAGAGAATTTAAAATAAATCACCATTTTTTTTCAGCTAAATTTAAAATTTTTGGTAATTTTCTAACATTTCCTCAACAAGCATCTTCATAAGTAAGACTATAAAGCCAAAGTACCTAAAATTCAAAAAAATATTAGATTACTGAGAATATTTTCCTAAATTTTTAAGATTACTGGTTAGTTAAAAAATTATATAAAAAAAAGCATTCATGTTGTATTCGTCAAGTAATTTATACACTTATGGGCCCTTTACTTAAAAATGCCAAACATTAAGTTATCGACACCTCAGAGAAATACATATCTCAAAAAAAAAACATAATTTGAAACTAAAAGTAAATAATATTTGTTTTAATTCAGAGTAATTGAACTTTAAATCAGTTAATCTACCTAAAATAAAGTTTCAGAAAATTATATTTATTTTTGAAAAAATTTTTAATAGAGATTTGTTGCACTGAAAAATTTGTCAAATATGGCCAATTTTAGTGAAGTGAAAAATAATTCCAATCAATTTAAATTCGTTTTGAAATGCAGTAAAGTATCTTACTTATTGGAAATATTAAATTTATTAGCTTTGAATTATGACTAAAATAAAAGAAAAGCTTCCAGAAATATTTTTCATTTTTAAAAGGAATTTTAAACCTTAGGGGTCGCTTTTTTGGGAGATACCTATATATATATATATTTCTTCAGTAGAGACTGGTATATATATATATATACCAGTCTCTACTGAAGAAAACTTAATAAAGAAAATGTACCCTTTTGTAAGATTCGAACATGCATCCACCTTGACAAGCTGAACCACAAGTGTGCTTTTACAGCTCAACTTCGAATAGCATCACAATGAAGCATGGGTATATACTAAAAATAATATTTGAACTAATAAAAATAATGTATTAAAAAATAAAATCCATTAATTCTCTCTCTCCCTATATATATATATATATATATATATATATAATATACTAGAATGATTTATAAATTTAAATGTAGAAAAAGACTAAAGATTATGGCAGTTATTTACAATTTAATAAACAATCCATAAATAAAAATAACAATAGTTTGAGTCCCCACTTTCTTGAATACATATTTTAAAAATTATCACATGTTGCTTTCATATGACTTTCTATGTTGAGCAGCATTTGATTTACTTTTAAAAAATGATGACACTTACAAAAATAATGATACAGCCTACTTCTTAAAGCATAATTAATTTTCTGTTCTCATTTACACTTCAAGATCATGACTACACAACCTGAATTTTGGCCAATTAATCCAAAGCAGAAACCACATTTATGAAACCATACTTGTTCATTAATTAGTTAGCTCATAAGTTACAGTAAGAAAAATAAGTATTTCATTCTCTGCTGATTTTCTGAGTTTGCCACCTTACAAATATGTGAATGGTGTATAATTTTCAGGGTAGGTCTAACTTTAAAGTGAGAGACAGAATATAAAAAATATTCTAGAAAATCACATTATATTAATTTTTGAACATTTATTTCTAATTTATTGAAAAAAATAAATATTTCACCCCCTACCAACCAACAATGATTCAGACCCCATAAACCGGTTATGTGACCAGGAGGCATATAGACTAGTCCTATTACTCAATTATTACTCCTAATCAAGTACTCATTACCTGTATAAAAGACACTAGTTCACAGAATCCTTCAATGAATCAGAATATAATTTCTCCACAATGGGCAAGATGAAAGAATTGTTTAAGGACATCCAGGACAAAATTGTATACCTGCACAAGACTGGAATGGGCTACAAGGCAATTGGCAAGCATCTAGGTGAGAAGGCGTCAACTGTTGGTGCGATAATAAGAAAATGGAAGAAATAACAATTAAGTATCAATCCCCCTCAGTCTGGAGCTCCATGTAAGATCTCCCAACATGAAGGGAACCTGATGATGAGAAAGGTGAGGAAACAACCTAGAACTACGCAGTAAAAGCTTGTTGATGATCTCAAGGCAGTTGGGACCACAGTCACCAAGATGACCATTAGTAACACACTACATCATAGTGGACTGAAATCATGTAGTGCCCACAAGGTCCCTCTACTGAGGAAGGCACATGTACAGGCCTATCAGAAGTTTGCAAATGAGCATTTGGATTATTCAAAGGAGGGTTGGGAGAAATACTGTGGTCAGACAAGACTAAAATTGAGCTTTTTGACATCAACTCAACTTGCTGTGTTTGGAGGAGAAAAAAAAGCTTGAACCCCAAGAACACCATTCCAACCATTAAGCATGGTGGTGGAAACATTCTACTTTGGGACTGTTTCTCTGCTAAGGAGACAGGACAACTACATCAGGTCAAGGAAAAAATAGGGCTAAATACAGGGAACTCTTCAGTGAAAACCTCTTTGCCTCAGCCAGGACACTGAAGATGGGTTGTGGATGGGTGTTCCAGCATCAGAATGACCCAAAACATACAGCTAAGGCAACAAAGGTGTGGCTCAAGAACAAGCACGTTAAGGTAATGGAGTGGCCTAGTCAGTCTCCAGAACTTAATCCTTTAGAGAATCTGTGGAAGGAGCTGAAGCTTCAAGTTGCCCAATGACAACCTAGAAACCTTAAGGATTTGTAGAGGATCTGCAAAGAGGAGTTGGCCAAAATCCCCCCTGGGATCTGTAAAAACTTGGTAACCAACTACAGGAAACATCTGGCTGCTATGCTTGCCAACAAGGGTTTCTTCACCAAATACTGAGTTATGGTTTGCTATAGGGTGAAATATTTATTTTTTCAATAAAAAAGAAATAAATGTTTAAAAATTAATATAATGTGACTTTCAAGATTTTTTTTAATATTCTATTACTCACTTTCAAGACAGACCTACTCTGAAAATTATAGACCATTTCTATTTTTGTAAAGTGGCAAACTTAGAAAATCAGCAGGAGATGAAATACTTATTTTCCCCACAGTACTCCCTAGCAATACCTCATAAATAATCATCTACTCCATTTTGATTGAGAGAAAATAAAGAGCAAAACATAACAGAGACACTGTTTGGTTTCAGTATAAAAAAAGAAAAAAAAAGAGATAAGATAGTAGAGGGGATAGTCGATGCTCTCATATATTTAACGTCTGCTTCAGTGAATTAGAAATTCTTGTCAATTTTAAATCTTTTCATTTGTACCCTCTTACTTCAAAATATTTCCTTTTATTCTTTTCAGCAATACATGTACACACACTAGTATATTTCCTCTTATTTGTGAATCATGTTATCTGTTATATAAGAATATATAAAAATATCATCATGTATTGAAATTTATTCCTTATGAATGTTGAATTCATTTTATTTAAAAGTTCTCAAACTCATTTCATCATAAACCCATAGACCCACAAACCTCTACAAATCCTCTAGAATTTTTTTGATGAATCATAATTGTTACATTAATAATGATTGAATAAGCTTCTTGTGAGTTCTACAACTATAAAAATACTAATGGAAATTCCCCTCTTGCATCGTCAAATATTTGTGCTTAATAACTTCAGCAAGATATTGTAATAAGAATAAGTATGAATGCAGGTTATTATTTAAAGAAGTAAGAGAGTACAAATAAAAAGATTTAAAATGGCAGATTAGCTATTAGGAAATGTGTATGTTAAATCTATTAGGGAAATTTTTTTTCTCACTGGGAACAAAGGCTTGTACTGATGCTACTATATTTTAGAGCAAAAGAGAAGAGAGAGAGAGAGGAAGGTTATGTCTGTTCTTTTATAGTGCTGAAATAGCACCACTTAACGGGTATCTTGGCAGACAAATGGGAGATAATCACAACAAATCCAGACAACAAAACCATGACATTTTTATGGGTACTAATAGTTAAATTTAATAGATATGTCTACTGTTTTACATAAACATTTAAAAGAAGAATTGCTGCCCATACATATATATATATAATGATATATATATATATATATATATATATATATATATATATATATATATATATATATATATATATATATATATATATATATATATATATATATATATATATTTTTTAAAATCATAAACTGATGCAAGATGGGGCATTAATAGTGTGTATAGTGAGCCATGGACTTGTATGAGATTTTTTGTCTCTTACACTATTTTACCAGCTGCAAAATGTTATGGTCATTGTATGGGCCAAGGAATAGTTACTATGGCAACAATTGGTAAGAAAGGTTTATTAGTTTACTGTATATCTGAGCAATGGGTAAAAAAAGAAAGCATGTCTGATGGAGGGGGGTAATTCAAAGGTCGACCAAATTGAATGTGCATAGCAGAATAATATATAATAAGATTGGAAATATTGTTTTAAGTTTTATTTTTCGTATATACATTCATTATGTTAAAGTTCATTTTGACAGTGTATTGGCACATACAACAATGTAACTAATAAAATCCATAATAAGTTTTCAGAGAGACAAGTTTGTGAACAGAAAGAAGGAATGGTATGCTAAATGGATTTATATTGGGAGAAAAAAATGCAGATGAATTTTGCCAGAGAGTGAAGCTTCTCTTAAATCAAAGTTCATTCTGATGGCTGCGTGATGTGGATTTCACTAGAGAAATAAGAATTACTGTTTGAAGCAAAAAAAAAAAGAAAAAAAGGTAAATTAAAAGACAAAAATGAAACAAAAAACATGAGGGGTAATTTTATCTTCCAAATGGCTCAAAAGGGCCAGTTTGAGTTTCTGCACATGCACTGATTGGTTGAAAATTATTAATTGCGATAACGTGATCTGCACTAGACATCCAGACTCTGATTTTCCCCGTGTGCAAATATTTCATTAATTTGACAGTTTACTACTTTTGCAATCCTATCAAGTCATATTTAAGGTGAGATCCAAATTTTTTTTTTTTTTTTTTTGCACTTTGAGTATTGACATGTTTCTCTCGAATGAGCCGCCACACACATTTCTTCAAGGGCGTTAAAAACTATACAAGCAGGCACGAAACCAACTGAGATTATATTAATGATAGCAATAAAGATTTCCTTGTTGCTTTGCATTGAATAAACCATTAAGAACTATTAATCTGAATACTGTATATTTTCTCTACAAACATGAATCTGAAATAAAATCCTCTCCCAAAAAATAAATAAAATAAAAAATATTGAATTAAATAAATAAAAGGCAATCACAAATAGAGTAATATTTGTTGCATCGTGCCTACTTACATACCATCGATTTAAAAGCAGCAGGCATAGGATAAAATGTGGATGGAACTATAGAGAAATAAATAGAAATTGAAAACTATATTTCATGAAATAACAATACAAGAAATCTAGAAATTGAAGATTAACAATATATTCCCTAATTTATAATCTTTTTTTTTTTCCATCAACCATGTTTTCTTATTGAGGTCAAATGTTTACTTACTTGTCAAACATTTATCTACATAAATATTTATTTCTCATTTATTTGCAAAAATTTAATTTGAAACTTGTTTCAGCAGAAAAAGTGTAAAAGAATTTATCATTAACTAATCTGGGTAATGTAAAGAGTCCAAATCAGATCTTCACAGCTAGGACCCACCATACCATATTCATGGGGACAAATCATCCCAATTCCCTTCATGTTCCTTTGTTAGGGATTAAGTTCCACTCAGATAGCTGTTATTTTGTGGAACAGACTCCTGAGATGGTGCTTCCTTGACATCTATAATCTTAACATTTAACATCTTAATATCTTCAAGTTCAGGGTCAACTGATAAATATCCTACATGTCCTCATATTATGTATATCTTACTTCCTCCTTCTCTTATAACGATCTCACTCATTAGCCCTTTACCTTGAGTGACCCTTGGGCCTTGTATTAGGTGAACTATAGTAAAAAAAAAAATTAAAATTAAGTGTTCAAATGTAAAAGAAATGATAAAAAGTGAGATGTACAACAGAAATAATAATGATAATAATGATAACAAAAATAACAACAATATCAACCACCACCACCACCACCACCACCACCAAAACCAGCGCCAGTGGCTCCCATAGCTTCTGATCTTATAAGATTATATAAAAATCATATTACATGCACATAAACAAAACATATAGGTATATACAGATATTTGTAAATGATTTAATGAAAAAAACTGTAATTCTTGTCTGGTACAGTTTTGTGTATTTTTAGGAAAAATATTTGAGGTTGTGAGAATAATGATAATACTATACAGAATAAAAAGAGTAAAAGTGACAAGTAGAATCTGTGTGTGTGTGTGTGAGAGAGAGAGAGAGAGAGAGAGAGAGAGAGAGAAAGAGTGAGAGTGCTTCCCCTTATCTGAATGTGACCTGAACCAAAATAAATGAATATGGAATGCAAAACATGACCATTCCTGACACACACCCATTTTCCAGATCCTTGTTGTCAACTCCCATATTTTGTATCAAACCAGTGGTATACAAAAGATACTAAATCCTTGATGTTTCTGGGATTAAAACACAATAATCCCAACAAAACAGGATTTTCCTGGACCAATACTCAATCGAATATGGCATTTAATAATTAATAAATTCATTTGGAAAACATTTCACTGGCATTCTATATTTGCAAATTGTGCAAAATTAATAAGGCACTATAATACAAATTCAAAGATCATTAAGTATTTAATAACATCAGTACCTTCTGATTCTGAAAATGGTTGTTTGACCAGTTAGAAACACCGAGTCATACAAATGTAAATGATTTGTACATTTGCTGTCCTATGAAGGACATAGACAGTGATGGCTCTCCACAATTTCTTAAAATTTATAGCTTTTAGCAATGTTTGCCTTTATGTTATCTCTCCCATTCCCTGTTCTGCCATCTATTTATAAGCTCATTAGTTAGGTTCCTAACTGCTTTCGTCTCTCCCTTTTGCTTTCAATGTAAGAGTTTAGTACACTTTTTCTTTGTTTTTATAAAAATTTTCCTCTTTCTTAATAATTTGCCTAGCTTTTGGAAGGTATCTTTCACTATTCCAATGTGCCTTCAGGTTTTGGTGTCATATGTATCTTGGGCTGTCTCTCCTGTTGACAACCATATATGGTATCTTCCTACAAGTAGGGGAATAAAATCAATAAATACATTAAAAAATAGTATAGATAGTATAGTTGTTGATATAATTTTGCATAGACATCAATACTGTATGATAATGGTCAGCTACATGGTTCAATGTGATCTTCAGACCATCAGACTGAAAACAGCTTGAGGCATGACACTAAGCAAGTGGCGACAGTCTGTTTCATGCTTCAAAACAGTCTTCAGAAAATCTGTGTTTTTATGTTTTGGCTCACCTATATATATATATATATATATATATATATATATATCCTGGTCATTTATGCATTATGGATAACGAGGTCTATTGGAGTAGTTATTTCACTGGGAATAATTATGGATCTGAATGTTGTTATTTGTAGCTATTATATAGTGTTTATAACTGAAGATTATCTGACAATTAATCCATTGAAACTTCCTTCAGTGGAGACAAAAAAGTTAAACAGCTCTAAAAGATAGTAGATTTTCAGCAACACTAACATACCCATAATGCACCATTGACCAGCATATATAAATAGTTAAGATAGCCTAAAGATTGCATTCAATCATGGAACAGATTGTCACTGCTTGGTGTTGACCTCAGTGTTCACTTTTATATTTACATATGCTCTATGTTTGATATTGAACCTATAAATATAGCATATCTTAAAACTATATTTTATCATATACATACATACATATATATATATATATATATATATATATATATATATATATATATATATATATATATATATATATATATATATATATATATATATATATATATATATATATATATATATAATTTTGTGCCTCTGGAATACCAAAATCTAATTCACAACAACTTGTAAATTTCCTTAAAATCACCAATGACAAAGTTCCATTCCAGTGGTAACACTTTTAAATCATGACTTTATTACTTCAATCAGCACAATTTGCTAATCTCATAATGTTTTGAATTACTCTGGGCAATTCCAAGATTGGCATGCTGTAAAGACCAGAATACTCAATAAACATATTTGGCAGACATATTTACTGGCAATACATGGAAAATGTTGGTTGTGTGATTTATAGTTAATTTTTTTTCACATATTAGTTATAATTATGTTTCAATATAATGCAAACAAACACATTGCATACAAACATATACATGTGTAGAGAAACAGACAAGCATACACATGTTTAAATATATTTGATAAAGGAGCTTTAAAGGTAAGAATTGTGTTGTTTTTCATGATTTCACCCCAAGCAAGGTAATAAATTCACTAAGATGCAAGGAGTGTTAGAGTATATGAGAAAAATTATAATTAAGGAGATAGGACAATAAAAGAACAAGAAATTAAGAAGACAGAAGATAACAATTGACATTGGATTCAAATTTTTGTTGATCAAAGTTGGATTGAAAGCAAGAATCCAGAAGAGAGTTCCACAAATGAGAAGTGCGAGAAAAGAAACTGTTGGCATAGGATTACATCTAGCCAATTCAACTGTAAAATAATGAGACCTTCTTTCCAATCTATTATTGTGTATAAATTCATAAACTTTATGTACCATAGCAAAATATTTATCTGAACAATTAACATGAAAGTATTTGCAGAAAAAGCCCAGGGAAGCTAGATTATGGTTGTGGAAAAGTGACCGAAGCCAAGATACCAGGTTAGAAGATTCTTCTTTGGATTTTATCAAGAATTTCTCTCTCTCTCTCTATCTCTCTCTCTCTCTCTCTCTCTCTCTATATATATATATATATATATATATATATATATATATATATAGTGGGAGAACCAGACCAGATGTAGCAGCAATATTCAAAGCAAGGATTAATGGTTAAGTTATAAATATTTAAAATAGATTGTGGCATGACAGGGTGAACCAACTTTCTTAGCTGCAGACTTAGCAATTGATTCAATATAATCTTTACACTTTATGTCAACTGAAAACATTAGTCCAAGAACATGCAATGAGTCACTCTCCTGGATGTTAGCACTAAATTGTATCACTTCATGTCCTCCATAACTTGCCTGACTTGATGAATATTTATGAGAATTCTTATAACTAAAAATTTAAATAAAAACAATAACAATTTTGCTCTTGTAAAGTCACTCAGAGGACGAAATGTGTTGGCTAAGATAAGTTTTCCTTTTGTCTTTATATATATATATATATATATATATATATATATATATGAATAAAAACCAAAGGTAAAGTTATTTTAACCAAGATGTTTCATCATCCTCTGATTGACTTTATCAAGGCAAATGTAAAAATTTTTATTTTGCATCAAGTATTTATACACAGAAATGAAAATGTTAGTTTTTAAAATTTTTTATATTAAAGAATACTTATAAATATTCATCAGGCTAACTAAAAGTCTGGATAAATTATGAAGGATTCTAAGTAACACAATTTAATATCTAATAAACAAAAGTGATTAAATGTTTGTTTTTTAAATAATGTAATTATTAATTATATTATTTTAGTTTGGGATTAATTTATGTATTATATATTTTAAATAATAGAAAGCTATGGATTTAACCATTTTCTTTTAATTTTTGAACATTTTTACAGACATGTATGTTGGCTTGGGATATGAGTAATTCTTTCAGGAATAGAGATAATTTTTTTTAAAAATTCATATTTTGATAAGGTTTGAGAGCAACAATCTCGAGAATTGATAAAGTCTATTAGAGGATGAAATGCATTGACTAAGATAAATTTCCCTTTTGTATTTATTACTACTGTCCTTTATACAGATATAGTTTCTGAATATATCTGAAATTTTACACACACACACACACATATATATATATATATATATATATATATATATATATATATATATAAAGAAAGAGAGAGCAAAAAAATAGAATTTATTTCTATTAATGTCAGTCTACTGTCCATTTTTATCAAAAATCTACTGGAAAAGTAACCCATCCACATGCTGCTAATGATTTTTAAAATGTTTTTTTTTTTCCTTCAAAGGTTTTACATTTAAAAGCATCCAACTTTAAGAAACAAGGTCAGTCTTAATCTGCAATATCAACAGCCTGGATGGGCCCCACCTCCGTGACACATGGCAGTTTCTCAGCACATACTTCCTGCTTCTCAAGGGATTGTATCATGAAGCAGTTTTCATCAGTTACTCTACATGCAGCAAACATCTGTTAACTTGATGGCTTTCTTGACATTTTTTCAGTCACTGATAACTTATATTTACCTCATGAAGTGATTATATTTGGTTTAATATTTCCTCTGGATAATTCTGATATGAATCTTGGTCCATTGCTCAAATTCCAAAATGATTCATCTCACTCTCTCTCTCTCTCTCTCTCTCTCTCTCTCTCTCTCCTCTCACCCCCAACCTATATGAAGGCAACATGTTCCAGCTGGATATATTTGCCTCTCGATGAAAACCGATTGAATCCTATCCTTTCACGATTATTACACAAAGCAATATCACAATTTTTTCACTTCGCCAACTGCGGAGTAATATTTGGGAAAACTTTGAGGACCAATCTATTTAAATTGACCATGAGAATTTTCTAATAACTTATGTGAATCAAAACCCATTATTCACATCCTACATCTATTAATACATCTATTTGCCTCTTCCACCAATGTTCGCCAACTATCCCAAGCTAACCTGAAATGTCCAAGCCTGACACTGACTGTCATAGTCTGCTTTCATTATTGTTCAATTATTCATAATTCTTTTCATATTCAGTGCTCTGTAAAGTGGAATTCCTCAACTAATATTAACATTTTATTGTCTGGAATTCTTTATTCTTCATTCCATCATCTGGATTCCAGAGTTCATCTTTGAATAAACATTCAATAATCATAAATTCTTCTCATTTCCATCACCGTTATGGACAGAATTATTCTATTATGAAGTGATATTCCTGACCCTACCAAATGCTTGATTTTGCCCCAACATTCCAAAATCTTTTATCTATCTACAACATTCGGCTACACAACCTTAAAATAATCTTTTGTTAATTTAAGAATTTCTGTAAATTTACTACTTAATGCATCTGTACTGTTTCTTTGGAGATTGTAATCAACTTTTACATTCTATTCTTTAACTTTTAGCTCTGATTTGAACAGGACATTGATGACAATTCATTGATATTAAAGAAAAAGAATGTTGTATAGGACTGCAGTTAACAACATCCTGAAGAGATGTTGAATTAAAAAAAAAAAAATTTAACATTAATTCCTAATGATTGAAAACATTTAAACCAAATTCTAAAGGGAATTCTTATTCCCA